GGCTTCAGCCAGTAAAGCCATGAATGTTCTACTGGACCTTTTAGGTTCTAAATTGGCGCAATCTTCACTATCACTGCTTTCATTGCTGATTTTATCCGATGTAGTGGAAACGGATGATCTACTGCTCCTATTATAGGTCTCCACTTGCTTTAGATGTTTTCTTGTCTGATCACTCCTTGATGACAGATCGCCACGATAATTCTCTCTGTGTTTTGCATGTAACTTATCATGTGCTTTTGAGATCTTCTTCTCAGCCTTCAAACCTTTCTCCACCTTATGTTCTGCATCTGTGCTGCTTTCAGCACAATCGCTGTCGAAAAACGAGTGATCCACTTCACCTTCCAGTTCACTGGGGTTGAACATGGCAATTTCCCCTCTGCACACCTGTAAGGATGTAATGTGAGATACCTAAATAGTAATTTTTTAACCCATTTATTTAACATAACAGCTAACAACTTAGCAAAACCTGCTAGAGTGACTGCTTTCAAAGACTGAAATGATTGGCCAGGTGTCCCTTTTTATGTTGGGTTGCACAGCATTTTTATCCTTTGTCCACTGTCCCACATATTGAGACAATGTTCCACATTTTATGTGGTTCTAGCTTACAAACATCCTCACAAGAAACGTGGTTTAAACAGACATGTGCAAACAAGGATCCATACAATTTTAAAGGTTTTTTGCAATATAAAACAGGTAACACTGCATAAATCCATGAAAACAAGAACAATAGGATAGTCCAGTAAACTCAGTGAAAACACACGATGGAGAAATGTTGATATGCACAAGTTACAGAACTTGAATGCATTTCTAAAGAACTGAAGATCATCACTTCAAACTGCTGTATGATCATCAAGTGAAAGGAAATTGTGTGAGGATGTTCATTATCAACCCAGGAAATAGCACGGCTCGAGCCTGCCATGAACTGGAAACTGTTCGATCACCAGTGCCACTGTCTACAGTGAAGAGAGTTTTACATGACCATGTACCAAATTTCCCCTTTTGGGACAATTAAAGGATTATTAGAGGGCACCAATGAAAAAAGACACCCCTGTTACAACATCGAAACCTTCAAGTTCAACTATTATTTGCAGCTGCCCACAGGGATAAAATAAATGCCTTCTGGAGAAGAATTTTATGGTCAGATGAGACCAACACTGAGCTAGCTGGCTACAATGACAAGAGGAATGTTTGGTAGCATGAAGGTGAGGCTTTCAAACTGTAGTATCTGTCAAGTACTGTGGTGTTAGCATGATGCTCCGAGGCTGTTGTGCTGCCAGTAGTACTGGCACACTACACAAAGTGGATGGAATACTAAAGACAGAGGACTACCTCCAAATTCTTCAACTTCACCTCAAATCAGCAGCTAGAGGGTTCAAACTTGAACCATCTTGTTCCAGCAAGATGAGCACACACTGGCTTGGATGAAGCAGGCTAACACTAAGCTTCATGAATGGCCTTCCAATTCAAAATTTGTGGACCATGCTTAAAAGCTGTGGTCTGATAAAGGAAACCGACCGGTTTGAATGAACTCTACTAACTCTGCCAAGAAGAGTGGTCAAATACACACCCAGAATTATGCCAGAAAGTTGCTGATGACTACCAAAGATGTGTGCTCCAGGCGCAACTTGCTAAGGGACAATTAACCAAATATTAGTAGGGGTGCATGTATACACTTGAGACTACATGTATACTTTTGACGATGTGTGGATTAGAGAATCCAAATTAAATTCAAACTTATGGACCCAATACTAAAGTAATTAAAGATGTAGCTGTACAATCATTCTACCCTGGAAAAAGAACAGTCCACAAAAATTAATTAAAAGCCCCAAATTAACAAGATATTCAGGCCCATGATGTGTATGTAATCCTTTGTGTCAGATACAGTAACGGTCAGTCAATAAAAGACATCTGCATAGTTTGTGCGTGTGTGTGTTTTTGTTGAGGTTAGATAATACATGTTATACTATCGTGTAGCTTTAGCAAGCTTTGTCACATATAAATAAAATCTTTGCCCCACATTTCGCTTGTTGGTCCCCCTAGAGTGGCCTCTTCAACACTTTTCCTCAGTGCAAAGACCGGGTTTCATTTAGCTTAAAGTGGCATAACAGCAAACTGTTGTGTAATCTATCCATCAGTGTGTAGCAAGCTCCAAAACACTAACACTATTGGTTATCTGTTTACCTACACTTTCAATCTCCATTACTACAGTAATATAAAAATGTATGCAATAAAAATGTGGTGGGTATAATGCTTTCACATGTGTTTTAACCCATAAACAACACACGTTAAGCCTGGCAGTTAACTAACGTTAATAGTAACATAGCTAACTTATCCAATTCGTTTAGTTTAGCTAACTTAAGCTCCAAGAATATCTTAGTTCTCTTACCCAAAGAAAGAAGGCACGATACACCGTTTTCACGTTAAAATTAAGTTTCTTCTTAAGAAAGAATGTCAGGAATCTGAATAAATACAGAGCAAACCTGCAATAAAAACAAATTTAGCGTTAGCAGGCTAAAGCTGGAGTAACACGGTGCCTGGTAACTACGCAACGTCACTTCCTGGCAACGGTCGCCCTAGGAGATCTCTGCAGTAGTTAAGAGAAGCAGTCGACTCCAGCATTTTATCACTATGAGGGCTATCAGAGTTTGATTTATTTCATAAAAAACAACAGCGAAAATTCAGCCGCTGATTTGCTAAATCCGATTATTTCAGTCAAAGTAAGTTAAACTGATCAAAACTAAATTTATTTTTTGGTACTGAATCTAACAATAACTATTTGTGTTATATTTGAAGGTATTTGGGATAAAATTCAGTTAACATACAGTTTACAAAATGGTTTCTTATTGAGTAATATTAGGTAAACTTAATTTATATTGTATTATTTCTTTCTCATGATTTTGAGTGATAGAAAACATGCGCATTAACAAGACAAAACTGATGCAACTGATACACTGGGACAACAGAGTATATGACATATAATATACTTGAATTTGAATCACCTTTATTCTGATTTCTATCCTTTATTTATCATTTGTTACTCTTCCTGCCCCTTGTATTTGTTTATGCGTGTCTCCTTACTAAAATATGACTTAATACAATGACGTCTCTCCATGTTTTATATTTTTCACCTTTTTTTCTTGAGGTTATAAGTTTTGTTCTTTATAGACAATAAAAATTACTTTACTTCCTGCAATCTGGCCACTCAACTTACTGTTTTATGCAGAAAACAAACAAAGAGAGAGTTGCCCTGTGTTGTGTGTTTTTATCTTTGTGCACAAATTTCTAACCTACTTAAGAAACATGTCAAGAGACAGATACTGGAGACAAACAGATGGGAGATCATTAAGTTTCTCCTGGGGATCCATTATACCACAGTAACTGCTCCCCCTAGTGCATCTCCATTACCAAGAAGAGGATTATCTGGAGGCGCGTCCCCTGAAATCACAATTTGTCATGGTTTTACTCTTAATAACATAATTAGACCAAGAAGTGACACACACTAATGAAATGCCGATGTCCTGGGACAATAGCACTCGGGGGGATCTGTTGTATAAACCTGTGACTGGTCACTGTCATATAATTTACATGCCAATGCAGGATGGGTAGAAATGAGGATTGAATAGGGGGGGTTTCTTTATTTGTCCCATACTCAGACAATGAAGGCATAAGTAACTGCAAATTTAGTATGAAAAAGATGAAAAAAGTTAATAAATCTGTGTTCTTTGAAAGAAAACCATCCATTTGACTGTGACACCTGGCTAATATTGGAACTTCAGTTACGAAGAAGGACCATTTTCCACAAATAACTTTTTCATTAACCATTTTTTAAAAACACGAATACCTGCATATCCTACAAACTGAGGGTTAGTTTCAGTGAAATGTATTTTATTCATTAAAAACAGAGTTAATTTCTTTCTGTTTCAACTGTAACTTGTTTCCAAATGAATACAGAATACATATTTGTACAATGTGATGTAAGGTTTGTTCTTTAGTCGTCTTATGTAGGACTACACCAACTAATTATTTATCATATAAATAGTAATATTGTAGGACAGATTCAACAAGGTGCTGGCAACATTCCTGAGAGATTTTGGTTCATATCCTGGAAGTATTGATCAGAAGATTACACTGAGGTCATAAAAGGATGGACATGGTCAGCAGCAATGCTCCCCACACCATTACACCACCATCAGCCTGAACTATTGACATAAGGCAGGATGGAGCCATGATTTCATGCTATTTACACCAAATTCTGACCCTACCATCCAGATGTTGCAGCAGACATCAAACTCTTCAAACTTCTTTTTTCCAATTTTGGTGAGCCTGCACGAATTGTAGTTTCCTGTTCTTAATTGACAAAAGTGGCACCCAGTGTGGTCTTCTGCTGCTGCAATCCACCTGTTTCAAAGTTCAACACATAAAAGATGCTCTTCTGCATATCTTGGTTGTCAACTTAAAGCAGTTTGATCATTCTCTTCTGGCATCAGCAACATACTTTCACTCTGAGAACTGCCACTGACTGGATAATTTCTCTTTTTCAGACCGTTCTCTATACTTGTCTGGCACTAACAATCATGGCATAAAATCACTTTAATCCCCTTTCCTCCCCATGCTGATGCTCAGTTTGAACTTAAACAGGTCGTCCTGTCCATGTCTACTTGCCTAAATACATTGAGTTGTTGCTATGCAACTTGCTGATTAGATATTTGTATTAACAAGTGGTTAAACAGGTATACCTAATAAAGTGACCAATGAGTGTTTTGCCCGTTATGGCATTTTAGCAAGGACTCCATCTTTCATGGTAGGTTCATATGTCCACCAGGAACAAAAGGCAATGAGAAAACTGTTTAACTGTTTGAAATGAAGTAAGATAATCGTATATAACTGAGCATAATTGATATAATTGATGAGCCTTTGTTATATTAAACCATGTCAAACAATGAAAGCACAGTAAACCACTATTTTCTTATTTCAGTACAAACATTACTTCCAACTGTAGCTGCAAGTTAATCATTTATGCAGGACTCAACCAAAACCAAAGCCTTTTACATACAGTAATAACACATTTTACTTCAGTTTGCAAAAGTTGACACGTGTTCATAAAGAAGGCGAGTTAGAGTGCTCCTCCATATTTCTGAACATGATTCACTGAAACGAGATCCATCTGGAAGGCTGAGGGAGCTCAGATGACCTTCGGCCTCTGAGGCAGACACAGATTATAATACGCAGTTTGATCCCAAAAGTCAGGTCCTTTCCAGCCACACCAGCCCTGGAAATATAACAGCCACACCAAGATCAGCACAGTGTGTGGGAACCTGCTTTTCAGACTGAGAATTGCTGGCGGTGTGAATGCTTTTCCGTTACCTTGTCTGTGATAACCTGCAAGTCCTCTGCTCCAGTGTAATGAGGATCTAGGATGAGGTAGCGGATCTGCCCTGTGGTCTCACTCCAAGCCACACCCAGGATAGTGTGAGCTAAAACGCCTCCTCCTGCAACACAGAGCAAACAGCAATGTAAGTTTGAACAAGCTTTGTCTATGTTAGCTATCAACAGTACAGGCTTCTGAAAATAGTCAGCTCCCTCCTTTTCCAAATCCATAATCAATAGAGTACAATTCATATTTTTGGGCCAATTAGTAAAATTCTTAAGATGACTGTACGCACAAATCCTGGAAATGATAGCAGGCTCTGGTTTTCTTTGAGTTTTTGTGGTGATGTGACTTTAAAAAAAAAAAGTTTTAATGTTTATATGTGGTGTTTATAGTGAGTTTTATGTTGTCATGCACTGACAGCAAAATTCATGACAAATTTCCACTACTTTGTAATGGAAATGAAGTTTATTGATTATAATGAACTCCCTTCTTTACCAAATCCAAAATCAATAAGCTGCCAATTAAAACAAAACAAACAAAAAAATCCTGGGAATGATAGTGGGCTTCTGCTTCTCTTCGGGTTTTTGCGGTGAGGTAACTTTTCTATATTTGGATAATGAATTATAAAAATAAGGCTTATCATAAAAAATATCAAGAAAACAAAGTTTCTGTGAGGTCATAAAATTAATGTAACTGTAACAGTTTGAAAGTGAGCTCACCAATCATGACTGGAGTTCCTTCAGTGAGGAAGTGGTTGGCCAGTTCTCGGCCTTTGGACGCCAGCTCAGCTCCCTGACTACAGAGAAGGCAGATTAGTTGTCAGATATATTAAAATCATCCACAAACACATAATCATTCACAAGAAATGCAATCCCACCTCACAAACAGGATCTTGGAAGTGAGCCCAAGCAAATGACTCAGAACAGCCTGAACCTCAATGGATCCAATCCACTGACGTGACCCGACGAAGGATGCCTGCTTGTCTCCAACATCCACTAAAGCCTGGAAAGCAGAGAACCAGACAGCTTGGACATGTCTGATAACATTGTAAAAAAAAGAGGAAATGTGGGCATACCTTGTACTCTGATCATATTTTATAGGGCAACTACCTGCTGGATCTCCTTGTGAGTGGGCACAGGCAGCTCTACGTAACCCTGCTGCTGGAACCAAGAGCAGATAGTCTGCAGGGAGCGATAAGCACAGCCCCAGCCATTGTCATCTACACGGTCCTGCATGTAGTGGTGATAGCTGTAGATCCCCTGGACCAAATACACCTTGAGAAAAGAAAAAAAAAATCTTGCTGTGTTCATCTATTTCTGCAAATGAGCAGAATACTGTTAAGGATTTAAAATAAGTAATTAGATATACCTTTCCATTATCTAGGGTAGGGTGCGTGAGAGCCAGATGAGGGTTTCGGAGATAACCGTCTTTGTAGGGCTCATTGGGAAAGTGGTAAGCGTTGGCTCTTCTGAAATAAGGCCTGTCATCTGGTAGCTCAAACTGCTGATGCAGCTCCTATTCAGACAAAATAAAGTTTCAAGGAAAGGTCATTCATTCTTTTTGTCCTTTCTTTAAACAAGAAAGCACAAGTTGAACTCATTGGGATAAATATGTCTATGATGATAGAAGTTCAGTCTGCGGTTCTTACTTTACTTTCCCAAAAAGTTGATTCTGTTCATCTGGATGGAGCTCTACATCCAGATGAAGTGAATCAACTTCTTGGGATTTCCTTACCTGGATGATTGAGCACATGTTAAGACACTAACCTTACGTTGTGCTACTAGCTGGCTGTCAGGCACTCCTACTGGATAAACCACAGTCACCAGTCCTTTTGGTTCTGGAAGGAGGAAGTGGACCGGTTCAGGAACAAGTAATGTCATTCCCTTCATGTTCTGAAGAGTCACTTTCTCCATCTCACACAACTGATGAGTTAGTGCCTCAATTAGCTGCTCGCAGGCACTGCAATACCAGAATAAAAAAAACAAAAAGTAATATTACTGTAAGAGACGAGCTTTGGTTAGTGGTATGAAACCAGATGTTTTGTATAAAAGACATACTCCTTGATTGTATCGCTGCGGCCGGTGCAGACAACACAGTCTAGTGGAAGAGTCACACTCACAAAGTGGGATTTCAGAACTGTTTTGGTGAGGATGGGGGCTGAGAGGGGGCCTGGCTTTGTCACCTCCGTCATCAGACGAAGGTTTATGACACTCTGAAAGGGAATAAGAGTGAATTTATATTCACAGGTAAACGCAAACGCCATAAAGACAACTAGACATAAAAAAAACGTTATGATGAAAGCTGAAACAATCAGCCAGTGGCATAGGTTCAAGTCGCATCTGCAGTGAACAGCAGGTTGACAAAGACAGAGCATGCCTGGCCTGTGGCAGCAGGACTGAGCCTGCTCTACTGTGTCAGCACTTTTATCATGTATTGTCACTGTGATATGGACTATTGTGACTAGACTGGATCAAAGCATCACACTGGGCTCAGGAAACAGTGCTATTTTCTCCTTTCTTTCTTTTATAAACAAAAATTGGTCAGATAATTAAAAAAAAATCACTGTCAAACTGATTATAGTCTTTAATATGGCTCCATATTATTCACAGAACACAAAATATTGCTGATTATTCGATACGTACCGCCACCGAACTTTTTTTGCTTTTCTTTTTTGATGATTTTTTCCCAGAACTCTCTTGTTCGTCTGCCCTGAAATAAAAAACAAAACAACCCCCCCACCACACACACACACACTTTTCAATATAGCCCAATAAAATACAAAGAAACAGCAATGACAATAAAAGAGGTCCAGAACAATATAGGGAAACACACAAACACACATTTAAAACTATAAACCAAAACAGAGACTAAAACAGATGAGCACAAATCAAAGTGTCAAACACATGAATGCATTTATTCCTATAAAGTTCGTAGTATGGAGTGCATAAAATGTATTACATGACCACAGATGTCTGAAATTTTACATAATATCTGAAATTTGCTGTGGGTGGCTGCAGCTCAGGGATAGAGTCTACTCTGAAGGTATCTGGTAGTTTGAAACCTGGCTGCTTCAGTCTGCATGCCAAAGTATCCTCGGGCAAGATACTGATACTAAATGTTCTACTTTAGCTTCGCATTTTTTTTTTTTTTTTACCTTCATCTATTCTGCTTTAGATTTTTTTTTTCATCGTGCCACTAAAAGATGCAGATCAATATGTCACTAAAGACTGTATTCCTGTTGGTTAGTTGGTAGCAACAGTTTTATTGTGTGGTAGTCGTCTTAAAATTTCAGACATTTTTTTTTATAATTACATCCCAAATTATCTGTGGTCCACAACTCTGAACATCTCTCACTGTGCAACAAGGGACCACTGTTCATGAGCCACAATCAAAGATATTGTCTCAATTCTTGCATGTCAGTCAACCTTCTTCTTACAAAATAAGATGAAGAATCTATTCAAGAGAGAAATAATGCACTGTAATAATGTCTGTACTTACTGTATCCATTGATGCATATCTTCACATAGTGTACTTGGAGTTATTTCTTCAGGTGTGGCATAAGCATCTTTGTTTGGCCATATAATAACAGGACTGTCGCTCACTGCCAGAACACAGGATTCAGATTTCACCTGGGAGCGAAGAGTCTCAAACGTTCTCGAGATGACATTTCGCACCAGCTGCTCTGTAAGAAGAAAATAGCGTTTCTCTTTAACATTCCTACAGCGTTAGGGTAATAGATTTGTATGGCTTGAGTTCTGGAATTTGCATTTGACCAGTTACTGCCACTCTGTTATAGAATTTACTGTTTCTAGTACACTAAACGGCTACACATGTATACATTTTACTTTAGTTAACTAAATATCTTCTAAATGAGGACATCCAAAGTAATGTTTGGGGGTTTTGTCTTAGAAGGCCATCATTACATCAAGCATGTATATTGAAATTATATTCCTGGTAATGTGGGTAAAGTTTGAAATAGTCTGACTCAATTATAGCAGGAAAAATGAATAGAAAAACTGCATTTTCTATAATCCACACGGGATCAAATATATAGATAGACCCCCACTAATATTTGGTTAAGTGTCACTTAGTGAGTTTGATCGTGGTACCCAACAACAAAATTCTGGCATAATTCTGTCTAGATATTTGACCACTCTTCTTGGCAGAATTGGTAGAGTTCATTTAAACTGGTTGGTTTCCTGGCACGGACGCAGATTTAAAGCATAATCCACAAATTTTCAATAGTCCTTCAGTTGAGCTTGAAGGTACCGATTTTGGAGCAAGGGCTTCTTTCTCAGTCTAAGCTGATGTAAAACTCTCTTCATTGTGGACAGTGACGCTAGTGTTCCAGCAGTTTCTAGTTCATAGGAAGTTTGAGCTTTGGTCGTTCCTGGGTTGTTCCTGAGCATCCTAACCAATTTCCTCTAATCTAAGGGTGATAGTTTGGGTCTTCTACCAGACCATGACAAAGTGGCGACATATGTAAATAACATGTAATTATGTACAGTTGTTTGAAGTGATGATTATGGAATCTGCAGTTGTTTAGAAGTGGCTCCATGAGACCTTCTCAGCTTGTGTAAATCTGTAATTCTCATTCTTAGATTTTCATGGAGCTCCTTTGACTTTCACAACTACAAAAAGAAACTACAATTTATTAATCAATCATGATCTCAAATGAGAAGGTAACAGGTTTTAGCCCCGTCAAGTTAAAATACATTTTAGAACTTTAATCTCCATTTATTTAAAAAAAAGAAAAAAAAAGAAATAAGTGTATTTATTTATTTGAACTTCACACGGGGTTTGACTCTGTGTTTAGTAGAAAAAAAACCCCCAAATAAACATGTGCACACACACAATAATTTATTTTTTTTAAGTCTTAAAAATGTGTGCTGTGCTCGGAAGACAGCACTTCCAAGAAATCATTAAAAGCCCCAAAATATCGTGACATTCATGCGCGAGCTGAATGGATGCAAACCACTTACCACGACTGTGGATGTTTTAACTGTACGTGTGTGTACATTTAGACATATTGTTAAAAATCGTTTCTGAACACACCATCTGTGCCGTCCAGCTGACATCTGAACTCCAGCAGACCTTTGACACGAAGAACGGTCGCAGTCTCGGAGTCAACAACGACCTGATAGCACACAAAACGACAGAAAGTCAGCGGCTGGTTGGGGAAATCATCTGACAACGATTGTAATTACTCTTTTAGCGTTACTGGCTAACTGCTAAGCCACGAACTGAAGAACCCACAAGATAGACTTACTCGTGGGTCTGAACACAGAGGAACACAGACACGACCTCGTTTCGATAACTTAATTTCAGCAACCTTACCATTTTGGAGTTCTCAGCCTAGCAAAGGAACTACACTGTTTATTGTCAGTTGTTTCTAAGCACTGGGGGCTGACATGTCTACTAAAGCAAAAGTTCAACGTGTCTCTGGTTGGGGCTTTCTATTGGGCCACACTGGCTCCGCCCATTTATGGTGCATTTATAGTAACTCGTAAGTTCGGGAACGTTTTCTAGATAGTTTGTCATACACGTCTTCACAATATTTCGTTTTCTTTTATCAGTTTTTTCCCTTTTAAATTTAAAACGCCTATAAATGTATTGTATATTACCACCTATATCCTCCCGAGAACCGAGGAAAAGTGCATCTTCTAGTTGAACTTTTGTTGTGAAATGTCAATCCCCTGAGATTCACATTTACTGCATGGATTTTTGTAGTTCATCAGATAAGCAATTATGTACTCAATAGTTTACAAAAAAATAATAATTAAAAAACCAACACCCAACATTAGTCTATCTACATCTGGGGTAAAATTAGCCAATAAGTAAATAAAGGCACTTATAATCCTCCTCAGTCCTCCCTTAGAGAACGCTAAATCTTGTGCTTAGTCTCTAATGCACACTTTACTCCATCTAATTAGTCTTGCTTCACTGCCCATGTTCCCCTTCTTATGCAACATTTGACACAATGTGTCAATATTCTTCTGCTTATTAATTTTGTTGAGATATTTATTTTGTATGGGTGTGTGTGACTGTGTGTGTGTGTGTGTGTGTGCAGGGGAGGAGGGTATTAAAAACAACAATAAGTGTTTTGTAACACTGTAAATGCTCACAGTCAGACACACACAAAAAAAGGTTAAAATGTGTTTCTTGGTGCATTGCCAGTTTATCTCAGGATATTCATAAGAGCTATGTGAGTTAAGCCAGAAGTGTAAGTGTAGACAAGGCTTTTGATATTTTAAGTTGCTGTTATGCAGGCTTAAGTCATAAATTGTTCCAAACATCACTGCCAAAGCTCTTCTAGTCAAAGGCAGATAAATTAAATCAGCATCAAGGCTCTGCTTGCAGATAAATCAGATTTACACCCTCTGATTTATAAAATATAAAGGACAACTCTTCAGCCTAAGAATTATAAATTACAAGAATATCTGTAAAAAGGAGGATCTACTGAAAAAATATTCCCATTACAGACCTTTTCCACCCCATTTTAAATTGTATTAGCTATTCTTAGCTGCTATGTCAAAGTCAAATAGCACAAATACCACATGCCAGGAAGTGGGGTTGAAAATGAGGACAGTTTCAGGTCACTGATGTTTTGTCCTAACAATGCCTCTGGATAAAATCAAGTTTGTTAGGATTACTGGAAAACAGAGATGAAATGGTTCCTCTTGTACACGCATGCAAAGTCAGTTGTCTAAATCTAACAGAGTGTCAGATAAAATAAAATAAACACACCTAACAGGTGCAGTGTAGGGAAAAGGTATTTGCCCCTAACTTATTTCAATTTCACTAGCAACACTCACGTTACTTTGGTTACTGTTGACTAAAGAAATTACTTAGTTACAGCCTGTCTGACGGAGTGAAGTCGACTAATAGATCTCTAAAGGCAACACATCATGACAGAAACAGCTGAGAAGCAAACTCAGTCACATCTATTGGTCTGGGAAGACTTTCAATGCCATTGTAACTCTTTGGGATGCCAGTGAACTTATGGTGAGAGCTGAAAACTCTGCTGACCAAAAGAAACACAAAGGCTCGACTCACATTTGCCAAAAAACAATATTTTCAGGATCCCCAAGACATTTTGGAAAACAGTCTGTGCATTGACGAGACAGAGGCTGAACTTTTTGCAAGGTTTGAGTTACATGTGCATAAAATTAATAGCATTTCATAAAACGAACATCACACCGACAGTCAAACATGGTGCTGGACCTTAAACAGGCCATTTATGCTTGAAAACCTTCCAGTGTGGTCAAAATAAAACAATTCTGCAAAGAAGAGAGAAAGTAATGACTTTTTTCCACACAGAGCCAGGTAGGTTTGGATAACTTTTTTCTCTAAATGAACAAAACGTTTTGCATTTTGTAAATGTTATCTTTGTCTAATATTAAGATTTCTTTTATCTAAAACATTTATAGAATATTCAATATTTCTTCAATATATACACTAAAGTGCTGGAACACAACATTACCACAGTATTGTACTCCAAGTATCTACATTATTAAACAATTCTTTGTGCCTAAATGTGGCAATCTGCTCCAGGATGTCCCCTCTTATCAAACTGAGTCCGGCAGCAGCAGCATGCATTGTAACAGTGTGAAGTCATGACTCTTGAGTTCCCGTGGACTTAGTGTGCTGAGGAAGATTTGTGATGAGATTAACTATCTCCCCTTGTATCATAAACAGAGCATTAAGATCTTTTCAGTTATATGCTATAAATATTAGAGTGTGCGCAAGGAATGATTATATGGCAAGAACTCACATTACAAATGCACATTCATCATATGTCCATAGGCAGAGATTATCTTTGGAGCCTTTTATTTATGTGAAAAGTGGCAGATGTGCTGGGATGTAAAAAACAAAACAAAAAACCCCAACTTCAATATATATAAAGAATTTTTGTGCAGCTGTGATGAAACATATAACTATTTTCAGGGTAGCCCATTTTGGCTTTCTAATGAGAGTTATATAAAAGCATTTCAGTATCAGCAGTGTGATTATTTTCTTGCTCCTTTTGCCGAGTGGCTGGGGATTGTAGACGAGCCATGAAGGTTCAAAGCTACATTTTTACAAAATAGAAGCACAAATCTGTCTTGCACACCTATGTGAGCAACGACAGAGTGGAAAATTTATGTTATATAAAAATCCCAAAACAATTGTAAAACATCCACTAGCTTCAGATTAATGTTGGAATCACTTGTACCAAATAGCCACTGAACGTAGATTAGGGAGGTTTTAATGACCACTTTGAACAAGAGGAATGATTACCGCAAGAATCTCATGTTTCAGTGCTTCTATGAGAACTTGGTAGTTATTTTAAGGCCCACTTTAAAAAAAATCCTTTAAGTAATCTTAAAGCCTCACAAGATACTTTTTTTCAAGTAATGTCAAGAAGAGAAACATCTGGATCATGTTGTGCTCAGAGGTCTCACAGATGAAAGAAGTAGCTTTTGGCATCTGTGTGCTCTCTCAGAGCTGAAAGATTAATCTAGTTCATGAAAATCTTCTAATTTGTCTATATCAGGCAATGTAAGCAGTATACAGTAAATACTTTATGTAACTATAATTACATTTTCCTGCCTGCCTTTAGATTATCCAGCCATTAAAGCCACTATTTGAGTTTCTTTCCCAAATGCCATCAGATAATGTCAGAAATAATTTGAGCATTGCAGTTTCTCTCTGCTCTCAAAAACATTTGTCACCTGCATGGAACTAAAGTCCAAACAGTTATAAAGAATATTATATCTTATTGGCTTTCCTACAAATGTTAGGGAATGCCAGGGGTAATTAAAAACAACAAGTAGAAGAGAGCATTGCATGAAAACCTCCGTTTGCTGCAGGATATCAAATGAGCTTAGCTTCACTTGATTGGTCTCCTATTGAGGCATGAGGTCTGCACACTGGTCCTAGTCATTCCTCAACACTAAGAGGCTCACCACAGGGCACCATCTGAGGGACAAATAGAGGCAGGCAACAGACGAGGAAAAGGAAAGCATATTTTTCTGTTCCTTATGCTGCATTTAAAAAAAGTACATATATATAAATAATTTAATCACAAATATTATATTTATGGATTTCCACTTCATGCTGTGGCCCAGAAATTATGATATTTGTTTAACTTGTCAACATAATGAGGCCAATAATAAAATAAAACATAATTTATCAGTAGAATATTCCAGTATATTAGCTTATTCATTCAGTCACATAAATGGATTTCCCTTTACAGATTTCTCTATATTTATGCTTTGCCTGAATGTACTTGGATCAGCTGGATGTTATGTTTATGTCTCCAAACATGGCTGTTCCCAAAAAGGATGCTGCAGAGTGCCCTCTTGTGGACAAACTGTGTAGCATCAACTCTTATAATATGGTTGAAGGGTGTTTCTCCCATCTCTTCTTTACTCTTTAGAATTTTTCATTTATTCCCTGTTATAAATTATACAGATACATGAGCAAATAGCTAATATCTGGTGTAAATACTGGCTTGCCAATAATCAGCTGGGCTTCAATATGCAGTAAGGCTGAAATGTAATTATGCTGCCTAATGGCTTTCACATTTGCTGCTATTACAGTTTGCTGATAAAATGTTTCTTATTTCCACTTCTATGACTTCAGGCTTTAACGGTGTAGCCATAGATGGAAATATTGGAGAATTTCATGCACGGAAACCAGATTCCACAGAATGGAGGAGCTGGACTTTCTTCCCTCTTTTTCCAACCTCTTCTAGGTATTTTATTTTATTCTATTAACTGATATCCTAATGACATCATAGAGCTCTGCATGAGCTCTCTCTCCACCTTCCTCAAATTTCTAACACAGACAACCAGAAGTAGCTGTGAGATCAATCTCGGTTCAGTCCTGTGATCATTGAGAGGATGAATGAGATGTTGAAGATATCATGTCATCTCTTATTAGCACCTCTTCTTTCTCTGAATTTGGATCCTTAATCATAACAACTGCACTTAGACGGAGAACCATTTTCCACTTTCCCCTGTCGCCAAGGTGTTACTTGAGAACAAACAGAGCGAGAAACAGACCTGCCTGCTGTGTCAGTCAGCACTTCTCATTTTATCTGAAAGATGTGTTGAAACCTGGTGGTTACTCCCTCAGTGCAAACATGGCTCCTCTGAAAGAACACACTGATATGACACAGAGTAAAACAAAGCCGAGATTAACACTGAAACTTTTCAGCCAGTCATGACAAAGATGTTTGTTCATGCCAGCGCAGCTGGTGCTCTCTCCACTGGGTCCTGGTGAGAGGCAGCAGCAGCTGTTACCTCTGAGGTAGCAGATGGGTCACTAAGACCTGGGGAAAAAGATCTGCTTCAAGATGTTGCCCTCCAACCCCATATCAGTGCCCCGAGAGGCAAATGCAAACGAGCAAGTCAGTGGCTGGATAGCTGTGATAGAGGCTATATTATTAACTTAAAGTGAATTAGAAGTCGTTG